TCTGTGTCCCTGTTCAGGAGGAAATGTTAAAGATCTAGTGGGAAAAGAGAAGGAAATTTCACCAGCCCCTCTCCAGCCACGCACACACACACACTCTTTCTCTCTTCTACCCACAAACACACAGTCACTCCACTCCACCTTCGAACCCAGCCCCCCTCCCCCTGGTCTCTCCAACACAAGCCCCTGACCTTCTCTTCCAGTCCTGGACCCCTCACTGCTGTCTAACACACAGAGAGGGAGGAAGTGGCCTCAGGCTTTCTCTTTGACGTGTTAATAATGTGTCTGAATTCAGTGGGTGACCACAGTCAGTCAGCAGGGTTGGGGGTGGGGGAAAGGGGGAAACGAGAGAGAGAGAAGGGGAGAGAGAGAGAGAGAGAGAGAGAGGGTGGAGGGGGGAAGCGAAAGAGAGGGGGAAGAATAGAAAGAGAGAGGGGGAGGGGGGGAAGAGAGCGAGCGGGGGGAATGCCAATGCTTTTTCAAGTGAGAAAATATTTTGCGGAATCAAATAGAACAGCTGCTTACAGCGAACGAATCATCCTGCCCCGTGGGCGAGCGGGGAGGTTGGGGTGCGTGGGGGGGGGCAAAGAAGGGGGGAGGGTAAGAACTGATTTGGAATTGGTAACCGTTTCTGTTTCTATAATCTGCTTGAGCGCACACGTTTCTCTCGCTTGTATACAAGCGCGAGGGGCGATGGAGTGGTGGTGGGGGGGAGGGTTATACGTGCTCTGAGACACTCCCCTGTGTGAGAGACTCTGTTGTTGTTGTTGTTGTTGCAATTGTATACAGAGTCCGTGTGTGTGTGTGTATATGTGCCTGCGTGTGTGGGTCAGTGGGTGTGTGGGTCAGTGAGTGTGTGTGTCAGTGGGTGTGTGGGTCAGTGGGTGTGTGTGTGTCAGTGGGTGTGCGGGTCAGTGGGTGTGCGGGTCAGTGGGTGTGTGGGTCAGTGAGTGTGTGTGTCAGTGGGTGTGTGTATCAGTGGGTGTGTGTGTGTGCGTGTGTGTGTGTGTCGCTGGCATGTTTCACAGTGACTATTTTCCTGTTTGATGTCTGACCACCGATGACTTCAAAGAACGTTTCATTTATCGCCGCCACTGTGCTCTTGATGGGCTGAGGCCGGTGTGTGTGTGTGTGTGTGTGTGTGTTGTGTTTGTGTGTGTGGTGGGGGTTGGGGGAGGGAAGGGGGCTGCTCCATTTGTCTGTGTCCAGCCCTTGGGGGATATGTACGTAGGCAGCAAGCTGTGGAACCTTGCCTGTAACCACAACTTCCTTCCTCGTACCCCGGGTCAGTCACTCTCTCGCTCTCTCTCATTCTTGCCTTTTGAGTCAGACGATTGTGGGTTCAAGCCCCACGTCGCTCACAGTGCAGGCGGGGCTTCTGGAGTGGGGGGTAAGGCTTGTAGGGGAGGGGGTAAGAACACTGTATTTTCATCAGGATGAGACGTGGAGGCAGAAGTCCCGTCTGTGTTTGTTCCTATAGTTCACCCCCACTCTCCTGTCTCTCCCCCCCCCATTTTTTTGTATCTCTTCCCCCCCCCCCCCACTCTCTCCCCACTCCCCGGTTTCTCTTTCTGTTTCTCGCCCACGAAGGTGTCCAGTCAGCCTTCGTGAGGGTTCTGAAAATCGCGGTTCTATTCAAATGATTCATTTTCTCTTCAACCCCTCCCCACCCCCCCCCCCCCCGCCCGCCCCCAAAGAAAAATAATCTGGGAGAAATCGCCCACCGTTTGTGCCACTAACACAAGCACGGAACTTCCCGTCATACCTCTTATCAGATCATCCTGGCTTCCTGGAGGTCACCGTGATCTTATAATAATAATAATCCTGGCATTTGATACCGCGCCTTATCACGACATTGGTCTCAAAGCGCTTCACAGGATATATTGCAAAGTGGAGTGACTGTGTATCGCGTGGGCGAAACGAGGCAGCCAATTGCACGCGGCGGCAGCGTCCTACAAACAGTTGTGGATCGAGTGACTAATTTTGCTTTTAGGTATTATTATCCCCGGAAAATGATCTGCCAATCGACTACCAAGCGAGTTCCTGCTGGGAAACAGAGGCGTGTGTGTGTGTGTGTGGAGTAAGGAAACTTGTCTAAGGTTTTCTCCCGACTTGGAATCAAACCCAGGACCTCTCGCTTGCAATGCGAGTGCTCTAACCACTACGCTTTAACCTCCATTTGAACAGACAGGGCCTCGGTTTGACGACTCGTCCAAAGGCCAGCGTCTTTGACAGTGCAAAGCTGCCGCAACCCCCCCCCCCCTCCCCACCCCACCCCCACCCACCACCAACCCTGCTCTGCAGTGTGAGTCTAGACTATCTGAATTAAAAATTTGGGGGCTTGAACCCACTTGGAGGTGAGAGTGCTAACGGTTCGCTGTGCAATCCGAGATATGGTGGCGAATGGCAATGAAAAATAAATGCAAGGTTTATTTTTGTTTTTGCTTTTGATGTTGTTTTTGAGGGGGAGGGGGAGGGGAGGGGGGGGGGTAGTGCTGATGGGGAAGGCATGTGTGGACCACACGCCTACACAGAGAAAGAGAAACCGTTTACGCATCGCGAGCGCCTTTTTTTTTTGTTTTGGAAAAATAAAATCGCGATGCGTTGGGTGAGTGAGGCATCTTCACACCCACACAGACAGACCTCAGAGGAGGTATCAGCAGAAACTTCAGGCTGTTGTGGGGTCCGGTAGCTCAGTGGTTAGAGCCCTCGCCTCGCAAGCGAGAGGACCTGGATTTGATTCCCGGGCAGGGCGAAACGTCGGGCAAATTTCCTTACTCCACTCGCCTGTTTACCCAGCAGTGTGGACGAACCCGGTTGTTAATTGATTGACAGATCGCTTTTCTGGGTGTAATGGTCCCTTCAAAAAAATTAATAATAATAATTGGGTCACTCAATCCACGACTGTTTGTGGGGACGCTGCTGTGCGCAATTGGCTGCCGCGTTTCGCCCACAAAACATACAGTCAATTCACTTTACGGTATATCCTGTGAAGCGCTTTGAGACGTCTCGAAGACGTGATAAGGCGCTGTATCAAATGCAGGGATTATTATTATTATTATGATTCTCAACACCAGAATTCTCAGCTCTCTCATCGATTTCGACCCTATTTAGACCTGTTGCTCGGCTACAGGCGAGAGAGCGGGCTGTGTGTTTGTGTGTCAGCCTGGCTCAGTCTGTAGCGCTCTCGCCTCTGAGTTGGAAGGTTGTGGGTTCGTGTCAGGATTCGCAATGACATTGCATAAACTGACGCTTCGATGCAGCGCTGGGAGGTGGGGGAGGGGGTGGGGTTTGCATCAATGTCCTTCAGATGAGACGGGAAATCCGAGCTCCCTGTCTGTGCCTCTTCAGGTGGATGTTGAAGACCCTACGGCGCTATTCGAAAAGAAAAGGGGGTTTCTCTCTCTCTCTCCCGTTGTCCAGGCCAACAATCCCCCAAATAAAATTGGTCACTCGTTCCACGCCTGTTTGTGGGGACGCTGCTGTGCGCAATTGGCTGCCGTGTTTCTCCCACAAAATGATACAGACAATTCACTTTACAGTATATTCCGTGGAGCGCTTTGAGACGTGTCGACGACCCGATAAGGCGTTGTATCAAATGCAGGGATTATTATTATTATTAATAATTGATTTGCCGCAGAATAATGTCTCCATAACCTCGGGGTGGGGTGGGGGGAAGAGTCTCACATGGTGGCTTCTGCTCTGAATTCTTTTCACAGTGCATCTGCAAGTTTTTGATCTAAATTAGTGGTCAGGGGGGCGAGAGACAGAGAGAGAATTACAGAACTGGGACACGGTGACGTCTGTTTTATTTTGAGAGGATGGAGAGAGGAGGTCAGGTTATGTGGAGTATTTATTACCTGTGTGTGAGTTCAAGAGAGCGAGGGAGGGAGCACACGAGAAATGGAGGAGAGGATTAAATTATCACCTTTAATTGTTTTACTAATCTCAGATACTGGAATTACAGTCACCTCCCTTCTCCTTCAGGGTAAAGCAGCGCAGTGGAAATGTTTTAACTATGCACTATATACACAAACACAAACACGGTCTCTCTCTCTGACAAAAATTTACTCCGTCTCACACACACGGTCTCTCCGTCTCACACACACGGTCTCTCCGTCTCACACACACGGTCTCTTCGTCTCACACACACGGTCTCTCCGTCTCACACACACGGTCTCTCCGTCTCACACACACGGTCTCTACACACACGGTCTCTTCGTCTCACACACATGGTCTCTTCGTCTCACACACACGGTCTCTCCGTCTCACACACACGGTCTCTCCGTCTCACACACACGGTCTCTCACACACGATCTCTTTCTCTCTCTCACACACGAACTCTCTCTCTCACACACACGATCTCTCACACACACACTCACACGCATACAGTCGCTCTCGCACACATACAGGAGATTGACTGTTACTGACAGTCTAATAATAATCCTTGCATTTGATATAGCACCTTATGACGTCTTCGAGATGTCTCGAAGCGCTTCCAAAAATATACTGTAAAGTGAATTGACTGTATATTTTGTGGGCCAAACGCAATGGCCAATTGCACACAGCAGCGTCCCACAAATAGTCGTGGATGAGTGGCTTTTTTTGGTTGGGGGGTGGGATTATTACCCCCGGGACAAAAGCAATCCACCAATCAACTAACAACTGGGTTCCTACTTACTGTCAGGTAAACAGAGGCGCGTGTGTGGAGTGAGGAAACTCGCCTAAGGTTTCGCCCCGTTCCACCCGGGAATCGAACCCAGGTCCTCTCGCTCGCGAGGCGAGTGTTCTAACCACTGAGCTGCCGGACTCCATAAAACTTTCTAGAATGAAACCCGGATCCGGAATTTAAGCCGGAATCTCCGGCACGGCCTTTTCCTCCCCAGGCTTCCCGCGGGCACACACGGATCGTCCCAGGAACAGCCGTCCTTTCTCTCCGAGTCCCGTCGGTTCCTGATTACGGTGCTAACCTGCTCTTCTCTCCTGTCCTCTCTCTCTTACAGACTGAAAGCCTTGGCAGCCACGGGGGGAAAGAGTGTCCAGGCAGCATGTGATTGGTTGGTATGAGCTTCCTATCTACAAACGTAACTAACCCCATCTCTTCCAGACACTGAGCCCATCTCACGTCCAACACCGGAGGCCAAAACCTTGTGTCTTCTCCTCTTAATAATAATAATAATAATAATCCTTGCATTTGATACCGCGCCTTATCACGTCTTCGAGACGCGCCTCAAAGCTCTTCACAAGAATATACTGTACAGTGAATTGGCTGTGTGTTTTGTGGGCGAAACGCAGCAGCCAATTGCGCACAGCAGCGTCCCCACAAACAGTCGTGGATTGAGTGACCAAATTATTATTATTTTTTGTAAGCAATTGTTACCGCTGGAAAGTGATCTGCCAACCTACATGCTTACTGCTAGGAAAACGGAGGCGTTGGAGTAAGGAAACTTGCCCAACGTTTCGCCCCGCCCAGGAATCGAACCCAGGCCCTCTCGCTTGTGAGGCGAGCGCTCTAACCACTGAGCTACAGGACTCCACTCTGCGCTCACATCCAGTCTCCATCTCTCCACGTTCACCTGCCCTTAGAGCAATCGTTGCTTATTGCACCTCCTTTTCCCTTTGCTCTCTTTCTCTCTTGCTTCCCCCCCACCCCCCCTCCCCACCCCCACCCACCTCACCTCAGCAACAAACAAACAACAAGTGCTTTTCAAGTCAGGGGGATGTCCCAAGGCACTGGACAGTCAGGGATTTGGACCTGAGCTAATCACCAATGTGAGGTGGTTTCAACCCATCGAAACTCTTCCACCAACACATTCAGACCTTTTCATCCCATTTTCCCACTCTTTCTCCAAACGCCTTATTTCCCAACCGTTGGGTTGAGTGGATGAATCCACTGGCCAGTGCGATAATAACACTCCTTACATTTGATATAGCGCCTTATCATGTTGTTGAGACATCTCAAAGCAGTTCACATAATATATAGTGAAGTGAATTGACTTTCTCTCTCTCCCCTCCTCCCTCTATCTTCTTTTCTTTGTCTCCCCTTTTTTTCTCTCTCCTCTTTATTCTCTCTCTCCCTCTCTCTCTTGTTCTCTTGCAGTGAGCAGTGTGACTGACCTGAGAGACGATATAATAATAATAATCCTTGCATTTGATACGACGCCTTATCATGTCCTTGAGACATCTCAAAGTACTTCACAGAATATTACTTGGAAGTGGAGTGATGTATTTTGTGGGTGAAACATGGCAGCACAAAATGCGCACAGCAGTGTCCCACAAACAGTCGTGGATTAAGTGACTGGATTTTCTTTGAGGAGGGATTATTACCCCCTGGAAAGCGATCCGCCAATCGACTAACAACTGGGTTCCTACTTAATGTTGGATAAGCAGAGGCGTGTGTGTGGAGTAAGGAAACTTGTCTAAGGTTTCATCCTGACCCGGGAATCAAACCCGGGTCCTCTCGCTTGCGAGGCGAGCGCTCTAACCACTTCGCTATGCGAGCCGGTTGATGAACCTAACACATTAACCCCTCGTTCTCTATTCCCCCTCCCCTGGCCCCTCCTCTTCGCCGCAGGCTGTTCTCACACGTTGACGACCCCTTCCTGGATGACACCCTTCCCAGGGAGTATGTCCTGTACTTGCGGCCCACCGGCCCGCTGGCTAACAAGCTGCTGGAGTTCTGGCACCAGTCTCGGCAACTCTGTGGCAAGAACAAGGCTCACAACATCTTCCCTCACATCACCCTCTGCCAGTTCTTCATGGTGAGTTCCCGATCGGGGGGGAGTGGGGGGGTTGGGGGGGGCGGTGATCGGTGGGGAAAACGTGGTGATGAGCAACAAAGCGTGGGGGTAGGGTTGGGTTGGGTCCTCTTCAGTCTTCAGACGAGTCCTGATTAATGTGTACAACATTTCACACCCCCCCACCGCCCACTTTAAAATATAATATATAAAAAAAACTTGCATTTGATCCCGTGCCTCATCACGTCTTCGAGACGTCTCAAAGCGTTTCACAGCTTGTACTGCGACGTGCGACCGGTGTGTACTTTGTGGGCGAAACGCGGCAGCCGATTGCGCACAGCAGCGTCCCCTCAAACAGTGGTGGGCTGAGCGCTGATTTATTGTTATGATTATTATCATTATTATTGTTGCAGTGTGAGGACAGTAAAGTGGACGGGCTGAGCGAGGCCCTACAGCACACTGTGAGTCGCTGGAGAGCCACCTTCCCCTTCCCGCTAGCGCTCGAGCTCTACACCTCCTCCAACTTCATCGGCCTCTTCGTGGAGGAGGACAGCGCCGAGATCATCAAGAAATTCGCCGCCGACTTCGCCTCAGAGGCCACCAGCAAAGCTGGTGAGGAGCCACCAACGCCCAAACATCTGAACACATCTCCATCTCGCTCGCTCGCTCTCACACTCACTTTCCAGCTCGTCCTCTCGTTTGGTCTCTCACTCTTGTGCTGTCTAAGCGCTCCGGGACGCTACCCCACCCCACATGAATGGCGCTATGTAAATGCTTGTTGTTGTTGTTGTCGTCTCTTGCTCTCGGTCTTTCTCACTCATTCTCTAAGTTGCTCTCGCGCTCGTTCTCTCGCTCGCTCCTATGCTTTTTCGCGCTCTCCCACTCTCACTCTCGCTCTCTCTCGCGCTCTCATTCTCTCTCTCTCACTTGCGCTCTCGCTGTCTCTTTCTCATTGACTCTCTCGTTCTCTACATGGACGGTCTCGGTGTAGGAGCTGCTCAGAGGGCGTTTGTGAGCGCTGCTGTTTGCGGTTCCCGCGCCCTCTCCCCTCCCACCTCCCACCCCGCCCCCAGTGACCCCCACCCTCTCTCTCTCTCTCTCTCTCACGCCCGCCCGCAGATGTCCGAGTTGAGCCGCACAGGAAGCAGCTGCACGTGACGCTGGCGTATCACTTCTTGTCCAACCAGCTGGCCGCCCTGGAGAAGCTGGCGAGGGGCATCGACCTGAAGCTGGGCTGTGATTGGGTTGCCGCCATTTATTCCCGGGACATCCGATTCGCAAACCACGAGGTACTTGCGGCCCCACACCGCGAGCGACAACGGGGAGACTCCCAGTGTCCCCGGGTGGGGGGTGGGGGGGCATGTCTGGGAGTTTGGCTAGCGAGGGGAGTGTCTGAGGGAGGGGCATGTCTGGGTGGGATGTGTCTGGGGGGGTGTCCAGGGAGGGGGCATGTCCGGGAATGGCGGTCTGGAGAGGGGCACGGGTGGGTGGGATACGTCTGGGGATTAAGAGCCTTGGGACGTCTTCTCGACATAAAATGTCCTATACAAACCTAATTTGTTGTTATTGGGTGTGTCCGGGGGGGGGGACATGCATGATGTAGGGGGTCTGGAGGGGTGAGGGGGCGTGGGTTGCAGCACTGAGCTCCGCCGTCAACAAGCTCACAAAGTACACAGTCACTACACTTTACAGTGTCTTCTGTGAAGTGCTTTGAGACGTCTCAACCAAGTGATAAGGTACGATATCAAATGCAAGGGTTGTTATTGTTATTATTATTATTATTATTATTATTATTAAGCTACATATCCTGGAGCTTTGACCATTGATTCTCTTCTCAAACATCAGCTCTTTGACCATAATAATCTGACTGCAGCGATGACCTGTATCAGACCAAGTATTAACCTGGTCTCTCTCTCCTCTCCCTCTGTGTCTGTGTGTCTCTATGTTTGTGTGTGTCTCTCTATGTCTGTGTGTGTCTCCGTCTGTGTCTGTGTCTGTGTGTGTATTGCTCTCTCTCTGTCTATGTCTGTGTGTGTGTGTCTCGCTGTATCTGTGTAACTCTCTATCTGTCTCTCTGTGTCTGTGTGTGTCGCGCTCTCTCTGTGTCTGTGTGTGTCGCGCTCTCTCTGTGTCTGTGTGTGTGTCTCTGTCCGTGTATGTGTGTGACAGACGCTGCGTGTGATGTACCCCTACACGCCCCAGAATGATGATGAGCTGGAGCTGGCTCAGGGGGATTTTATCTTCATGTCCCCCGTGGAACAGAGCACCACGAGTGAGGGTTGGATCTATGGCACCTCCCTCGGCAATGGCTGCTCAGGCTTACTCCCCGAGAACTATATAGCCCGGGCTGATGAGTGCGATACGTGGGTCTATCACTGGTAAGTGGGGGAGCGGGGGTGTGGGAGGGGAGAGAGCTCGCGAGGGCTCAGCCTTGGGGAGCGATGGGGTGGGAGGTGCAGACATTAAAGCAGGGTGACCATATTTCCCGGGCGGGGGGGTGAACTCAAACTGTAATTATGTGCTTGTCTCATACACTTAGCTCTCAAAGCGTAGCAGTTAGAGCGGCCGCCTGGGTTTGATTCCCGGGCAGGACGAAACGTTAGGCAAGAATCCTTACTCCTCACGCTCCTGTTTAACAGCACTAAGTAGGAACCCGTTGCTAGTTGATTGGAGGATCGCTTTTCCGGGGTAATAATCCCTCCCAAAAAAATGTGGTCACTCATTCCACCACCGTTCGGCTTCCGTGTTTCGCCCACAAAATACACAGTCACACCAGGCGGTGAAAAAGCAATAACCTCTTCTCTCTCATCCTCTCAGTTCCTGTTCCTTCCTCAGTGCGGGGGCAGGGGTGGGACCTAGTCTGTGTGACGGGGGGCTACGCAGGAGGGGCCAGGAGGAGCAGGGCCCCGGGGAAGCACTGTCACTACCCATCGACCTCATCTGCCAGCCCGTACAGGTACCTCACTGTGTGTGGGTGTGTGTGTGTGTATGCATGTGTGTGTGTCGGTGTGTGTCTGTCTGTGTACATGTGAGTGTGTCTGTTTCTGTGAGAGGCATCTCCTCGCAAAACTTACACAATTGCAACCCCCCCCCCCGACCCCTGGTGACTAATGTCTCTGTTTTCTCCTCCCTTTTCTCCCCCAACCCCTCTCCCCCACCAAGAAGAACTCTCAGCTGAGTCGGCAGAAACGCTGCCTGTTTGTTTGTCGGCACGGGGAGCGCATGGATGTGGTATTCGGAAAACACTGGATCAGTCAGTGCTTCGATGCCAAAGGTTTGTGGTGGTGGGATTGGGGGGGTGAGGGGTGTGTGTGTGTGTGTGAGAGAGAGGGGGAGGTGTGTTTGTGGGGGGTGAGTGTGTGGTGGTATGTGTGTGTGGGGGGTGGGGGTGATGGGTGTTTATAGGGTTAGGTTGTGTGTGTGGGGGGGTGTGGGGATGGAATATGTATAGGGAAAACCAATCTCTGTATCGCATGTTTGAACGGGAAAGGGTTAACTCCGTCTCCGCTTGCTGTATGAATCAGGTAACTACATCCGCTCTAACCTGAACATGCCGCTCACCTTACCCCAGAGGTGCGGGGGCTTCAGAGATTATGAGAAGGACGCGCCCATCACTGTGTTCGGGTGCACACAGGCCAGGCTGGTGGGTGAGTAACAGCCACACATCTCCTCTCCTTCCCGCTCGGTCATGGCCTCGATGTCAGCTTCGCCCCCCACCCACCCACCCACACACACACACACACGTACTCAGAAATACCTCTCCCCACCCCCACACACATATACCCACCACCCTACACACACAAATAACCCCCCCACCCCCATACACACACTTGCACCAAGACGCTGGTCCATTCCACATGAGCAAAACTGTGTGTCACTGAGCGCTGTGCGTGTTACCGTGTTTCTGAGCCCTTGTATGTGTTACTGTGTCTCTCAGGGCTGTGTGTGTTACTGTGTCTCTGAGCGCTGTGCGTGTTGCGGTGTCACTGAGCACTGTGTGTGTGTGTGCGGTTTCTAGGCGAGGCGCTGCTGGAGAGTAAATCCACCGTTGACCATGTGTACTGCTCGCCGTCCCTGCGATGCGTACAGACGGCGTTCAACATCCTGAAAGGTGAGGAGGAGGCGACAGACTGGGGATAAACTGAGGCCCGGTCAGTCGGTCGGTCAGTGACTGTCAGCCAGGGAGAGAGAGAGAGAACTTTAATGTCGGCTCGAACAGGGCGCGCAGACGGGGAGTTCATTTTACGATCTCATCCGAAGAACGGAGTCTGCCACACTGCGGTGCTCTCACCCCCCAGCGCTGCACTGTGACAGTCAGCTTAGACTGTGAGCGTCAGCCGAGATCGGCTGTGTGTGTCCTTTGCGGAGTCCTGTCCTTGCTTCAGAAGTGAGAAGACCTGGGTTTGATTCCCGGGCCAGTCAGGGCGAAACGTTGGGCAAGTTTCCTTACTCCACACACGCGCGCGCGCGCCTCTGTTTATCCAGCAGTAAGTAGGTAGGAACCCGGTTGTTAGTCGTCTGGCAGATCGCTTTTCCGGGGATAATAATCCCTTCAAAAAAATAAATAATAATGATAATGCGGTCACTCAATCCACGGCTGTTTGTGGGGACGTTGCTGTGCGCAATTGGCTGCTGCGTTTCGCCCACAAAATACACAGTCGATTCACTTTACAGTATATCCTGGGAAGCGCTTTGAGACGTCTCGAAGGCGCGATAAGGCGCTGTATCAAATGCAAGGATTATTATTGTTATTAAATTCTGGGCTTTGCTCCGTGCCCCCTCCCCAGGGCTCCAGCAGGAGACCAAGGTGAGGATCCGGGTGGAGCCGGGACTCTTCGAATGGACCAAGTGGGTGTCTGGCAACTCCTTACCGGCCTGGATGACACCGTGTGAACTCGCTGCCGCCAACCTGGGCACTGACACCACATATAGGTGGGTCCCAGCACTCGGCAAATACAGCCCCCATCTCCCCCCCCATCCCCTCACTCGCTCTAGTTAGTGCCTCGCTCTCTCTAGTTAGTGCCTCGCTCTCTCTAGTTAGTGCCTCGCTCTCTCTAGTTAGTGCCTTGCTCTCACTGGTTAGCGCTCTCTCACTGGCTGGTGTCTGAGTTGCAGGCCTCACATACAGATGAACAAGCTGGGGGTGTCGGAGGCTTATGAGACGTACATCAGCCGAAGCTTCCAGGTGATGAGGGACATCCTGGGCGAGTGCAAGGCCAAAGGTGAGCGGGGGGGAGGCCCGCGGGGGAGGAGCTGGGCGTTGGTGGGTGGCAGGAGCTGGGGTGGGTGGGGGTTCTGGAGGAACCAAGATCGGTCGGTGGTGGTGGTGCGCGGGGTGGGGGGAGGAGCCGGGGTACAGACTGGAGCGAGGGGGAGCCTCACCTCGATGATCCTTTGACTCTCCGGCAGGTAATAATATCCTGATTGTCGCTCACGCCTCGTCGCTGGAAGCCTGTACACGACAGCTCCAGGGTCTGTCACCCAGCAACGCCAAAGACTTTGTACAGGTGGTTCGTAAGGTCAGTGACCCACCCCTCACACCACCCCCATCCCTCCCTCCGACACACACACACACACACACAGAAAGGTCAGAGACCCTCCTCCCCGACCCCCAAGACATCTCACTCCCCTCCCCTTTCCCCGACTACCAAGATGGTGGAAGGTGAACTGGATGGACTTTGGTCTCCTTTTGTCCAGCAATTCATATGTTCTTATATTTTAGGCAAATTATACTTCCCCCTCCCCTCTGCAGAAAGGTCAGTTGACGCAATCACCCCAAACCTTCCCCGCCACTCCACAACCTCCCCGACCCTGACATGGAGGGGATGAGTGTTTTGGAGTCCTGTAGCTTAGTGGCTGGAGCACTCGCCTCGCAAGCCAGAGGACCTGGGTTCATTTCCCGGGCAGGGCGTAACTTTGGGCAAGTTTCCTTACTCCACAACGCAGTAAGTACGAACCTGGTTGATTGACAGATTGCTTTTCCGGGGGTGATGATCCCTTTGAAACAAAAAGAAATTTAAAAGAATAAGATTAAGTTGGTCACTCAATGCACGGCTGTTCGTGGGACGCTGTTGTGCGCAATTGGCTGCTGTGTTTCACCCACAAAATATGTACAGTCAATTCATTTTACAGTGTATCCTTCAAAGCGTTTTGAGACGTCTGGAAGAAATGATAAGATGCTATATCAAATGCAAGGATTATTATTGTTGCAGTGTGCAGGGATCTCGGAAGAATGAGATCAAATGGGCCGAAGGGTCACGTACAAGGATGAAGAACCTGGCTTCACACCTCATCTCTCTCTCTCTCTCTCTCTCTCACACACATTCTCTCTCTCTTTCTCACTCTCCCAACAGATCCCTTACCTCGGCTTCTGTGCCTGTGAGGAGGTGGAGGACGCTGGGATCTGGCAACTGGTGGACCCCCCCATCTTACCCCTAACTCACGGCCCCAACCACAGCTTCAGTTGGAGAGAGATCCTGTACCAGGAGTGACCAGCAGACCAAGTTTGCCCCACACACGCCAAGCCGGTCAAGCCATTTCAAGCATGTGCTTCCAAACCTGCCCCTCCCCTCACATGCCCCTCCTCTCTCCCCATTCAACACCATCTCCTTTTGTTGAGTCAGGTGTCATCTATCTCGTGACCCGGGTTCTCTAAGCGTTAGTTATCATGCTCCTGCCCTGTTCTTGTCCTGTGATGTCCTTGTCCTTGTCCGTGTGTGACCTCGCTTTGACCAAACCAACCTTCCGTCTCGACCCCCCTCCCTTTCCCCCTCCACCTCCTTTCCCCCCTCCACCTCCTTTGCCCCCTCCCCCTCCTTTCCCCCCTCCCATTCCCCCTGCCCCTCCCTTCCCCCCTCCCTTTCCCCCTCCCCCTCCCTTTCCCCTCCCCCACCATTTCCCCCTCCCCTTCTCTTTCCCCCTCCCCTCCCTTTCCCCCTCCCCTCCCTTTCCCCTCCCCCTCACTTTCCGCCTCCCCTCCATTTCCGCCTCCCCCTCACTTTCCGCCTCCCCCTCCCTTTCTCCCCTCCCTTTCCCCCTCCCTTTCTCCCTCCACCTCCCTTTCCCTCTCCCCCTCCCTTTCCCCCTCCCTTTCCCCCTCCCCCTCCCTTTCCCCCTCCCCCTCCTTCACGATGACCCGCAGAATTATTTCTTCGGCTTTGAGAGCCCCCCCCTTCCCACCTCCTTCGTCCTGAACCCGCAGTGGGTAGGTCGGGGCATGAAGTTTGGCGTGTCAATTGGTGCAGGAAGGATGGTGTGCAACAACAGCAACAATCTGCATTTTTATAGCACCCTCTCACAGGGTAGCGTCCCAGAGCGCACACTGGCGGGTGGCGTGTGTGAGGGGGGGGGGGGGTGCGCGGGTGGTCCTGTGTGCATTCGCTGAACTAAACCGTGCTGGTTAATGCAGAACCGGGGGTGGGGGAGAGAACTGCGGGCGACGGGCTGTGAGGGTGAATCCCGTTTGGGGGAGAGAGGACTGCGAGGGGGACAGCTTTATGTCAACGCGCACACACAGCCTTGACTGACCAAACGATGCTACAACAAACCAAACCAGAGGGTCGTGACTTTGTTTGTTTGAGGTACATTTGTGGCTTCCTGTAACAGCCTCTGGGACCTGCAGACACGCTGGTTTGATCAACAACAACAATTTTCATCTGTGTTGCGCCTTTCGCGTCGGGAGGACGTTCTAAGGCCCTGACCCGAAAGAAGTCGCCTTTCTAATATCGCCTGATCAGCGATGGGCAGGTCAGGCCACCATCAACGGTTGGGTCTTCAGCCTCTCTGCCCCCCACCCTTTGGAACTCCATCCCGCAGTCTCTTCGCCCCCCCCCCCCCCCCACCCTCTCTTGCCTCCTTCAATGTGGCAGCCGCATTGCACACAGCGCGATACCGCAAATGGCACAGGGATTGGGCAGTGTTATCTGGTGGGGATTGTCAGTGAGGACACCGGGAGATAGAAAGAGAGTTCTATAAATATATATATATACTCAAAGCAAAGTCCCTCCTACAATGCGGGTCCAACACCCCCAGCACTGCGCTGGACTGTGAGCTTATAGTCCCCTCCCCACCCTTGTGTCTGTGTCTGGTGAGGGGGAGAGAGGGCTCGGACCCACAACCTCTGACCTAGAGTTGATGGCACAATTGATTGAACCAAGCTATCGAGTGGATTTAAAGGTTCAATGGAAACAGGTTCCGGTGCGAAGGGTATTTGATCGGAATCCCAAACTCACAAATTCCCCCCCCCCCCCCCACCGCCCGCCCCTTCCCTCCCACCACATAACAGGGATTACAAC